TATTATGAAATTTATGTAATACATTTTCAACGTGTTTGCGAATTCAAAATAAAAAATACTTAGAATTTATGAATTTGTTTTTGTTTTAATTATTATTATTAAATTGTAATTAACTGTATTATTAATATGAATAGCGAGAGAATCGCACAAGTTCCGAGTTATAAGGCAAGAAATTGCAGCTGTGATTGCATATGGATTGATTGAGTGATTGATTGATTGATAGATTGTTTGTCTGATTGATGCATGGGATTGATGTGGCTATGTTGCAAGAGTTGTTGCTTTGCTGTTGGCTGGACGAAAGCACAAAAAGCTCAAGCTTAATTGTGCTTTCCATAAGCAAAGCAAAACTCTCGCAATCTTGCTGAGGCATGTTGCATGTTGCATGTGTTGCATGTGCTGCTCGTGGCATGTGACATGTTGCTTGTTGTTTTATTTGTTGTACGCACGCCCACAGGTATTCATGTGTAAATTTCTGCAAAGATTATTGTAAATGGTTGTTGTTGTTGTTGCTGCTGTTGTGGATATGGTTGTTGTTGTTGTTGTTGTTGCTGCTGCGCCTGCGCAACATTTTTGGGTGGGCGTGGCAGAACCAATTAATTTAAATATTTAAGAAGACAAAATGAACAGCCAAACCAAAAGCGAATTATCGAATACCAACACCCGATTGCATTCCGATGCGAATGTTGCTGCTGCCGCTGCTGTAGTTGTTGCTGCTGCTGATGCTGCATCAAAGCTGAGTGTGTGTGTGTGTGTGATATGCGTGTGTGTGCTTTGCGTGTGCATGTGCTTGTGCGTGTGCTGGTGTCTGTGTGTGTGCGGTGCATGAGGGTGGGTCGGTGGGCGTTGGTGCTTGCTGTTGCTGCTTTCGAGCTGCCGATTACCGATTACCAGCAGCTATCGATAACTCTATGTGTATGACAGTGGCCCAAAAAGTTTCCATTTAGTTTTCTTATTATTTTGTAATATTGCGTGCATTTGTTGTTGTTTGCTGTTGGTGCTGCGGTGCTAGATATCAGCTGTTGTTTTTCGTTTATATATATATTGTATATTGCTGTGTATTGTTTTTTTTTTTTTTTTTTTTTTTTTTTCATTTATATATATTGTATTTATGATATTTTAGCTTATCGCCAAACACACTGACTACATCTACAAATAGAAGAGAAAATAGAGAAAACAAATAAAAGGTGATGTAAAAAAGAGACGTGTTGTGATAAATAGTAGAACAAATACATATATCCATAAATATATATTTATATTTGCATATAACTTATCCAATAATTAAGCAGAACACATTTTCTTGTGTGTTTATGGTGCAATATGTGTGTGTGTGTGTGTGTGGGTGTATGTTTATGCTTTTTCTATGTGATATTTAAGACTACAGACTATACAGTAGATATTTATGTACATATATTTTCGTATATAAATATGTTCATTTGCATTTGCAAAAACAAAACTGAAGACTAGAATGGAGTTATATATACCTGCATATATCTTTTTATATTTTCTTTTCCTGCTGTAGCATTTAATAATGCCCACTATACAATACATAAAATATGTGTATATTATAGAATATGCTGAAAATAAATGCTGTATATCTTATATATTCTATTATATATTCTACATACACAAGCTATAAAAACAGTTTTAGATTAATTGAGCTTTTTTATTTCCAATAGCTATAATTTTCTTTCAACTAATAACTACCGAACATTTTAGTTAGGCTTCTTCATAAAAAGTATGACTAAATAATTTACTAAGTAAACATCATTTCAATTGTAGCTTATCGAAGTGCCTAGTAGATAATTTCACATTAATATTAATTCCGTGACTAGAATTTAAATGTAATAAAAACTGGGAATCCGTTGATTTCTGCTAAACTTATCAAGGTACTTTTTTGCTAAGCTGAAAATATCTCTTCTAGAGTGTCATAATATAAACAAAGCTTTGACAAGATAACAAACAAATAACACCTCCATATATATCAGACAGATATAAATCTATATGTACATTGTAATGCTAACCAACACCAAAAACGATTTAAATTTTTAGTTTTTTCCTTTTTTTCATGCACTTTTTAAAAGAACCAACAAAAATAGCAGCTTTACCTATGCATATGTGTGTGTGTGTGTGTGTGTGTGTGTATTTATGTACAACTTGAGTTTGAATATTTATACTAGAATATAGACTATATATGTTGTATATCTGTGTTGAACTCACCTGTGCTGACGCAGATTATCACGTTGCTTGAAGTACTTGCCACAGACCTCACAGGAATATGTTATCTCTGGGGATTTGTGCGTGCGCTCGTGTATCATCAGATTGTAGGGCTTGGTGAAACGCCGCTGGCAATACTTGCAAATGAACTCACACTTCGGACGCATCTTGCGACGGAAATCCGACCGGCAGTCATCGTTGTCGATTCGCATTACAGCAAACATTTTGACAGACGATATATTTTCCCCTCTTTTCGTTGTTTTTTTTCCTCTTTTTTTTGCCTACGTGCGACGCGCGCGCGCTCAGTGCTCGCACAATCAGTGGGTGAAGTTTTTCGTTCAGTTGGCGTCGCTGCCGACGACACACACTCACTCTCTGCTGCTGCTGTCTGCTCTCTTGCAATCGCTCTCTCTTTGTCTTGCACTCACACACACTCACAGTGTCGCTCTCGCTCGCTCTGGTTGATTGTGTGTGCTCGATCTCTTGCACTCAGTGAGTGCTCGCGCTGCGCTGAGTGGGGTTGTGTTTGGAAAGCTTTGAGCTTTGCTCTGTGTGCAATGAGCGCAATGCTTGACGCTGTTAACGGTACTCAAAGCGTAATCGCTATCTCTATTGCTATGGCAGATAACAGTTATTTGCTGTATGTGTGGCAATGCTTTTTCTTTTCTTTTCCTCTTTAAGTTGGTTTTTTCCTCTTCTCCTCTTTTTTTTTTGTCAACTGTCACACGCTCGCTGCTCGTTGGCTGTTGGCGTTGTTGTGATTTCTCCGTGTGCTAGCTTCGCAGTGGTTGCTGTTGCTGCTGTTGTTGTTGTTGTTGTAGGCGTATTGGGTGGGCCGTATTTCCAGCTGCCGCTGCTGCCGTTGCCTTTTAGTTTATGGCACACTTTAAGGCAAACACCTAAAAACACAGACACGGAGAGGGAGAGAGAGAGAAGAAACAAAGTTAAATAAAGTTAGCAACGCCTGCGACATCTTTTATGTGCCAATAAATTTGAGCAAAAATACCACAACAATAACAAAAAGCAAAAAGAAAAAAAAAAAAAAAAACAAAAAAAAACATCTCGACAACAACAAGTTGTCAACTTAAATCACGCAACATGAAATTGAAAATGAGTCATTAAAGCCACCTCAACCGCTAGCCCCCATACGCAAGTGGAACTCGAACTTGGTGTTGACATTTACAAATCACCAGCCGCCCAGCTTCAGTTGCTAACCTTCGCTTATAATTTGTCTTAAACGACAACACTGACTTGCTTTCTGCTTCTTCTTATTTATTTTTTAGTTTCTTATTTTCGCCAACCAGTCAGCCGTCACTGCTGTCGCCGACTGTACTTCCGCAACACAATTGTTCAATTAGTTGCCCGCGCAATGTTGAAATTAAAATACGAAATCCATAAATAGTTACAGCTTGACCTGAATTCAGTTGAAATCAGCTCGAGGATAACCTATTTATTCGTTATACAAGCTTCTTAACACTTCAGTAAAATATAATTTAATATGTAATTTTTTTGTTTAAAAATTTTTAACGAGAGATTTGATCTTTCCAATTGTTTGATTGTTTTATTATAGTAAACATTTATTTCAATAGGGAATTTCGGGGAAATACAAAAATATGCGTTACGATTATATTGATTATCGCAATAAAAAAGTCTTCTATGAAAAAGAATTGGAATACCAAATTTAAAAATTATTGCTGCTCTAACAACTGAGTTCCTCTAGGTGAAATAATTATAGACACTCATGATGACGTTAAAACTCACTATAGCTAAGTCTCTGTGTTGACTATCAATTAAATAATTAAATTAAAACTTTGAATTTATTCTATTGCTTATATTCTTTATATTAAGTGTCTTTATAATATGCTTCAAGGTTTGTGCATAACAGGAAATTTGCTATCAAAAAATACCTTATATCAAGTTTAAAGATTATAACTCAGCTAATACATAGCTGAGTTCAAAGAGGTCAGACGACATCAAAGCAGTAAAAATCCCCAAATCTATTAGCAATTACATAAAGTATGCAGAAACATGTGCCCAATATATACTTATCCTCAATTATTCATATAATTCTATATAGATTAAAGTAGTAGAGTAAAGTAGATTAAAGTAGTAAAGCCTCACTTGAGAGTGGCATATGATATATGATATGTTTATACGGTTGCAATAGTGTAAAATTATGCAGTGCAATGCTCTAACTGCTCTATAAAGAGCATACATGAAAAGTTAATAATCATAGCCATAGCGACGGCCCAGTTCACATAGGCCACTATGGCCGTCTATGGTTATGGGCGCTATAAAGATGCTGAAAGGCGTCACAAACTCACTCGGAGTGGTGTTTATGCCTTTACGACGTCACCTTGCCGCATTCAGTTGCCATATTTTAGTCGCTTCATTAAAGTGGCGCTGTAACAAGTTTATTTTTAATTGGCGCCTGGGCCGAAACAGCGCCTCAAATTTATGCCCGATGATTTTGTTTTTGGTTATATTCAACGGATCTCAATGCCTGCTGCTTCTTTCTTTTGGGATCCTGCGCGGTAGTTAACAACTGTTATTTTTTATGTAATTTTATTTTTGTCATTTCGGCGCCGCTGGATAACATTATTTTTTTTTTTATTTTGGTTTTTGGATATATGCATATGAATATGTATATAAATACGCGTCAGTCCCTTAATGTTATGCCATACATTCTTGGAGTTTTTGGAATGGGAGTTCGGATTCGGATTCGGATTCGAAGATCTCTGTGCAAACAAAAGCCTGCGCTGACTGGTAGCGACAACGTCTCTCGGCAAGCCCCGATTTCGATATTTATATGAGTTTTATTTTCATTTTTATTTATTTTGTTGTTGTTGTTCTTGTTGTTGTTTTTTTTTTTTTTTTTTCTTTTCGTTTTCTTTGATTTTGTTGGGTGCGCGCAGCTGGAGTTTGGCTGCAAGAGGAAGACAAATAAAGTGGCTTTGTTGCTTTTTGGGGCTTTGGGGGCCACAACGTTGACAACAAAAGGCAAAAGTCACAGCGGGTGCTGCACCAGACGCAGACGCTACGTAGTTATTGTCATTATAACATTAATGCCCACTAAACATATTCAAATTATAACACTGACGTTCAGGTCGCTGATCGCCAGCTCTTAGAAAGAGTGCGACAGAGAGACACCGTGTGAGAAAGAGATGGAGAGGGAGCGAGGTAGCGAGCAAGTCGTAGTCCAAGTCCATGTTAATTTGTGTACACAATGTGGCGTCACATTGGCATTTTAACGCCGTTAATCATGCGACACAGGGCGCCTGCATAAGGCCATGGGATTCGTTGTGGATGCGCTGGAGGAAGCGGCGTCCGTCCCTCTATTCCTCTGTCCCTCTGTCTCTCTGTCTGTCTGTTGAGCTCGCTCTGGCCTTTGGCTATGCTTTTTGGCTTTTTGCCTTTGGGCCATGCTTTTGTCGACGGCATTTGGCGTGGGCCTAACTGGAGCAGCATTAGCCACGGCTTACGACTGCGCCTAAGCTTTTCAACTTTATTTAACTTGACAGATGAGCCAGCCAGATGAATGCGTAAACCAAAGAACAACAACAAACACACGACGTGAAGGGGAAGAAGAAGTGTTACAGCTTATTTATTGGAAAACCATTGAGGGGAGGCAAACTCAATGAATGCAGTCGACTTATGCAAGAGATGTTTCGGCTTACTGATATATTTATCTGATTCGGAAATATTTATATGCTTTATAAATGTAATTGCTGATGGTATTCCATTTTTGTTATGAATGAGATAAATTGAAACAAATTTAATTTGAATTTGGCTTAATTGACTGCATACATAGTAAGTTTAACTCTTCAGGAATCTCTAGAGACTTTTGATAAATACAAGATATTTTGTTGGTAAGCTGAAGTACCAACAGGCGTTGTTCTAGTTTGTTCTTATTTAAGCAAATGGCTCATTTTAAATGTCTCATTGTTGTTTATAAACAATTTAAAACCTGCTCACAGCGAAAGATCAGCTATAAATGTATAGAACTAACTGTTTATAAATAAATCATTTTGAATTCATTTAGCTTATCAAAAGTGCATCTACAAAGCAGAGACACTATTAAGTAGCGATTTTTAAGCATAACAAAGTGATCTTAACGAATCAAAAGTATTTCGAGTTAAATTTGAATGGAAAAAAAATATTTGAAATACACAAAAGATCTAAAATTTAAATTGATAAAATATTTTGTAAAAATTCTAAAATAATATTTAAAAATATTGCAAAAATTAATATTAACAAATTTTGCTTTTAAATTTATAAAATATATAAAATATTTGAAAATTTTTAAAGTCACACGGAAATTTTTCCTCATCGCTCAATATTATGCTTTTACTTGGGACTAAACTCTGTTTACGCCCTAAATCTATAACATTATTCTTTTGTGAGAATTCCCATATAAATATCAGCAATACATGAATAAGAAGATAGATCTTTTCTCTCCGCAGCCACTGTGAATTTGTGTTTGCATAATCCGTTGGCTGTTTGCCAACTGTTGCTGTTTGGCATTTGATATTCTAACCAAAGCCGCTTAGTATTAGCTTGAGCACAGTCAACAGACCACACGCACACGCACAGACACACATGCACGCATAAGCGCTTAAGCAGACATTGAAACTGGCCAAAATATTGTATAATAAAGTGTTGTACAAGATGCAGTTAATCCCATTAATCCGCACTGAAAATAATTAGTGTTTTGTACACACAGCACAACGAGAGGTCTAAGGCATGCAGAGAGTCGAGATATATAAGAAAGAGAGAGAGGGAGTGCGTGTGTGTATGTAGTAAAAGATCAAGACACAGCGTGAAACTCAGACTTCAGATGTTAAAGTGAAGATGCAGCAGCTTGTGAAGGGCATGCGAAAGGCGTTAATACTGCGTGAAATTAGATTTGCACCAAAAATGGCAACAAACAGACACAGAGAGAAAGGGAGAGCGAGATACAGAGAGAGAGAGAGAGAGAGACAGAAAGGCAACGTATCTGAATCTGTATCTAAATCGTTTGGCAAGTGTGCATGTGAGTGTGTGTGTGTGTGTGTGTGTGCGAGGGTGTGTGTGTGCGCGCCAGCGCCTTTCCACGAAGCCAAAATCCGAAAAGTTACAGTTTAACACCCCGGCCCAGCGATAATGTGTAGCGGTATACGCCGATAAGGCTGCCAGGACCTAAAAAACTAAAAGGCACGAAGAAGGGAAGACAGACAGCCAGCCAGACGGACAGACAGCGGAGTGACACACACGTCGCACACTGTTAAGGGCCAGCGTAGCTGACATGGTCAAAAGCGATTACCACACTTACCAATGTGGCCCTTTTTTGAGTTCTTTTGGAGGCGGACAAGGTGAGTTGGCAAGGTGTCATTAAAAATTACATTCCGAAAATGTGGAAAAAATGACAATAAGCCGCACGGCTCAGGCCATATAAAAAATGTAAAGGACAAAGGCACCGAAACGATTTGATACGAATCTAATTGTGCTAATGGCGCAGAATTCTCAAGAAAATTAAAACCCCAGCCACACAACAACAGCAACAGCAACAACAATTAGACACCGTGCCTCAAGTAGTCCAAAGAATGAGAGAACAATGCAAGGGTGCGGGGCGCGCGAAACTGGACACAACTGAGACTGAAGCAAGGGAGACAACACCTAACCACAAAAGGATCTTTCAAGTGCTGACCGAAAGACAAATGTCTAGTTTTTTTCCTTCTCTTTTTCCTGTGGGAAAACACGCACCGCGTCAAACGCGAACTAGATGCGTTCGAATGCGTTGCGTGATCGGTTATGACAGACAGACGGACAGACAGTTGTGCAGCTTGGGCAACAACCACAGCCTAAGACACCCACGTGAAAGGTGCAAAATGCCTGCTAGATCGTACGTTTAACTAATTTGTGCCTAATTGATGGCACGCAGCGTGTGGTCCCAAAGGAAGAAAAAAGGACGAGGTCACTCACTCTCAGACATTTCCTGCTGAGCACAATTGCACCTCTATGTAGATAGATATATACATAAATATATAATATGTATATATAAATATATACACAAAAATATATAAATAGTAAAAGTGTACCAGCTTGTTAAAATTTGGCGACTCATTCAGCTAAGCTTGAAAATGCTAAGCTTGGTGCGTGAGTCAGAGCTTAGTTTAAGCCAAAATTAATTTGATGATCTTTGGCAACAAGTCATTTGCGGTTGTGAGTCGCATTGTCTATGTATATGATACGTTTGGCAAGTTTTATTAACCTCGCACAGACCTTCATCGTTTATAAGAAGTCGTCCAAGTAGTGCTGACTCATGGACTTACAACTGACTGAAGCGGACCTAAGGTCTCATAAGCTCATGTTGAAAAAATGCCGTCGGCACACGATTAAAATCATGATAGCTTAAGAGAAACCAGCTCGAAGCAAGCTCAATGTACAATTTACAATTCCAATTCTTATATTCGAATTATAATAAATGAGATAAAATGTAATGTAATACATATGTAGAAAATATAAATATAGATTGCTTTGATTTGCTGATGTAATAAGATGTGTGCAATTGGCTTATTAGAAATTCTGTTATGCTCGCCATTTTGTGGCAGTTTAATACGCAGGCAAAAAAGCTTAACGCACGCCATTGACAAACCATTTCTTTCAACTCTCACGCTCTTGCACACGCAAAGACACTCACACATCGAACGGCTCTCACGCACATTTGGCTTGGGCCAATGAAAGCGCGTAAAACTGGTAGCCAAGCAAACACATACACAACAACAGCAACAGCAACAACAGCAACGGAGAATAAAGAGAAGAGAACAGAACAAAAATAACATAAGCGCCAACGCTGCCTACTGGCTACTGTGCGACGCCGCCGCCTAGGTGCAGCCGAATCGACGCTAGCTGCGCAGCCAGGGCCATAGCAATGGCGACGCTTGCGTAACTGCGCAGTCGTATAGGCAAAACTTACCCAATGGGAAATACGACAAAATGTTGGTAGCTGCAGCTGCTAATCACTGGAATTAACGCGACGACAACGATTGGCGACTGGTGTCAGGCGACGAATGAATTAAGGTCACGTAGCACAACGGCTTATGTATATATGATTATCTGTGTGTGTATATATGGAATCACAATGTAGATCGGTTTTATTATTATGATGATTATTTAATTTAATTTTTTTTTGCTTCTTGCTTTTTGCTTGGTAGGTACACGCGAAGGAACTGAGGAACTACGCACGCTTGCGCGGCACAAAGTTGAATGAATGAATGCTACTAATAACTGAAAGAAATAGTAGTCAACTCTGCTGCTGCTGCTGCCGAGAGCTGCTGCTGCTGCTGTGCTGCTCGCGTCGCTGCTGCCAAGTTGAGGAAGCGGCGACGACGCAGTCAAGACCAAAAGACCGAGGCGTTCGATGTGTGGCTCTGTGTATGTGTGTGTGTGCCTTGAGTGCGGCTCAATACAGTAGTGAATGTGTATGTGTATGTAAATGTGTGTGCGTGTGTGTATGTGTGTGTGAGTCATCGGACTACTGTAGTGCCACAGCAACAGCAGCAGCCACGCCAGCAGCCATAGCCGCAGCAGCAGCTCTGCCTAGCTCTTCTTTCTAACTGGTCAAGCACGAACGCGAAAGCCGAAGCCGAAGACGCATTCGTGACACGAAGGAGAAGCTCAAGACCAGAAGCCGAAGCAAGTTCTTATAAGCTTCGGCTACTGCGCATGCGCAAGACGAGTAGCGCTCAAAGCGCACTTGCTCTCACTCTCTATCTCCGTCTCTGTCTATCTGCCGCACAGTCTATGCGAGTTTTGTGCGCGCCGTATTTGTTGCGGTGTTGTTCGTCTTCTTCTTATTTTTTTTTCTTCATGTCGTTTTTGCTGCTGCGTAACTGCGGTAGCTTTCAACAGTAGCCACAAAATGGCAACAACTAACAAAATGGCGACTGCTTACCTTTTAGTCCGCAAAACCCAATGCAAATGCGTATTTGCCAGCGAAGAAACAAATCAAATACAATTTGATTGCAGTTGTTCCGTCGTCTGTTCACCTTTTCGAATTTCGTTCACTTTTGCAATTTGCCAGACGGCGACGGGGTTTACACGATTCAAAGCTTGTAAGCTCAGAAAGCTCGCACAGATCGACTGCTAATATTATTAATAAAATATATTTCACTTCCGAACGCTTCTGTGCGCGAGAGTCAACTGCAAAGTTACGATCGAAACTTCAGCTTGATGGGTTTAACAGCTGCCTGTGTTGAAACAGTTGAGCGGCGCAACAACAACAACAAGAGCATAAAACAGCTTCTGCTGCTGCTGCTGCTGCTGCTTCTGCTCGTGGTGGTGCTGTTCGCCTTTCGCTGTTCGCTGCTTGCATTCAATTGTCTCTGCACTGTCTCGCTCTAGCACAATTGAGCGCAAAACGAGTTTGAGTGAGCGCAACGTGCTCTGATTGGATGAGAGCACTGAGTGACGCTGTATGCGTGTGTTAATTTGAACGTGTATGTGTGCGCGTGAGTGTGTGTGCGCGAGAGCAAAGCAGGTGAGTTAAGTTCTTTTTTTTTTCTTTTTGTGAGCTCAACGCTGGGGCGTTACGTGCGTGCGTGCTGGTCTGTTAATTAAGCCTAAATGCGCCTTCGTTTGCCAACAGAAAGACTTACATTTTAATTAAGAGCGTGCGCAAACACACAAATTATATGCTAAAGCTCAGTAGCTGCCCCAAAAAGCGCTCTGTGTGTCTACCTCTAACTCGCTCTCGCTTGCGCTCTGCTAAATACGCTTGTATAGTTCCATCTCTGTTATGCAGCTGTCGGCTGTCATCTAGCTGCTGTGCAACGCAACCAACTTTCTTTTACACACACATTCGCATACTCGCACACACACACAGAGGTAAACGTATGCTCAGTTGTTAAGTGGGCGTTGCCTTGTGGCGCTTTTGGGCGGCCAATGGCAGCCGCGTTCGCGTCGCTGCTGGCGCTCAGCTGTCAGTTGCCTGCCCTTAACCCGTTTCTCGACTGTCTCTCGCTCACATGCGCCAATCTATCTGCGTGTGTGTGTGTGTGTGCGTATGTGTGTGACTTTCAATGTGTATGCGTGAGTGCTGAAAACCAGTGGCAGAGCAGCAGGCAGCCGTATTACGCATTCGCCGCATTGACTGCGCTGCCAACTTTGTTAACTGTTGCGGCTCCATTTTGTATGCGTGTGTGTGTGCGTGTGTATATGTGTGTGTGTGTGCCGCCATGGGAAACTCTTGAAATGCGTTTTTCTTTAACCACTGTCGCTGTGTGGCCTCTTTGTGCCTCGCAAACAACAAATAACATGAAGAAATACAAGAAAACGAAGAAAATATACCAACATACATTTTGTAATGCGCCGCAAAAGGGCCGACCTTATATTTATTGTCTGTTTATCTCTTGCTTTCAGCCTGCTCTAACTGATTGCCTTTCATTTTCTTCTTCGGCTCATCTGCTGCTGAATGAAACAAACGCTCCATTCACAAATATTCACGAAAAAACAAAAGATGAAGAAGAAAAAGAAAAAAGAGACTCAACAACAAAATGATCAAATAATACAATATATATACACAAAAATTCGTTAATTTTACATAACTCTGCGCCTTTTGTGATTTTAATTAAGTGGCCCCAAAAAGGATTGCCTCTTCTTCACATCTTATTGTTTTTTGTTCCCCCGGTTTGCCTGCCATTGGACTTTTTAATTAAGTTTTCGCTTTGCGGAGCTGGCGAATTGACATGAAGCATCAATAAAGTTTAAAAACATGAGAGAAAATAAAAGAATGCTCAAATTGTTTCTCCTTGTGCGGCGCATCGTTGTGGAGATATTGCCATATTTGAGCCAACGTTTCTTAAACTCAACTTCAATTCGATTTTGATGGCTTCATTCCGCATTTTTGGCTTCACATTTGCATATATCCAATCAGGCGATACGCAAATTGATTTTTTTCTTTGTTTTTTTTTTTTTTTTTTTTACAGACAATTCCTTATGAAGCAGCAACTGCAAGTACATATTCGACTCTTTATTGACAGCTGTTGAAATTTAAAGTGCATAAACAAACAATTAAGTCGAAGGATCAGACAGTGACATAAAAAAAAGAGGCAATCATAAAAAGTTTCTCTTTGGCATTCATGGTGATTAACAGTAATGAAAACAAAAGATTTGGTTATATAAAAATGACATTTATATTATCGAAATCGTTAACGTTTTTGAGATTTTCATTTATTTTTCAAATATGTAGTTTATTTAATGCAGTAAATGGTATATTATTATTTATCTATGTATATTTGACTACTTAACTGATGCCTGAGTTTGCCGAAAAATTTTCCGGCGGAAAAAAACAAACTCAGAAATACTACGGGGAATGTTCTATTGGCGCATATAGAAGCTTTGCTCCTTGAATATTAATAAGGAAGAAAGTCCTATCCCCAGATGGATGATAACCGAAGAAAGAGGAGGCTTAGCAACAAATGCAATACGGTGCATCGATCAGTGTGGCAACCTGGATGCTCGTGATTCGCTAAACCAAACTGATTGAGGCGTGTTTTGATAAGTAAAACTCAAAGCTATTATCATATGGAATCGTATGCTAGAGATTCAGTCCAAATTAAGATTTTAACTAGATTCAGTATTTTACTTGAAGCAATACGTGTATTATATGCGTAAGCACAGGTTGGTTATATATACATATATATGAGGTCGAATTCTTTGCTGCAAAAATAAATTACCTGTGCCAAGAATAAACGAAACAAAATCAACTGAACAGGTAAACCTAAATAAACTCAAGCAAATCGACGCAACTCAGCTGTGAATTTTGCTAACAAGCTGTGATTCATCTGGGAATAGGCCTGAGATTATACACATATGTGTGTGTGTGTGTTTGTGTCAGCTGTTTCGCTTTCTCGGCGTCTATGTGCCACCGATTGCCACTTTGCTTATGCCACACACTTTGCCCACCGGGTTTTTATGGCAAATTAATAAGCCACGAAAATTCCAAATAAACCATAAATTTTATTAATATTCTATGTATGAATAAAAAAGACAATCGCCACACACACACACGCACACACACGCACACACACATACACATTTATTTAAATATGCAGCAGGCTATTCATAAAAAAAAAAAAAAAAAAAAAAAAAAAAACTTCTTTTTTTTTTTGTGGATTGGTTTGGGTTTATTGAATTGTCGCTACAATGACAGCGATTCAGGAAAAAAATAATATATATAGTTAAGCAGAGTGAGAGGAAGAGGAAGATATTGTAGAGAGCCTTAAAAAAACTACCGCACCGCACCCAATTATAATAAAAAACAAACGAAATCGATTTCGAATTCAGCTTTTTATTCAGAATTGAACGAACAATGGAAAAACCTTTTGCGCTCCTACAGAAGTGACAACAAATTTAAAATTTACGAAATAAAAATTAAAATGAAATAAAACACAATGGGCACACACTGAAACTGGAAACCAAACAGCACACAAGAAGAAGACAACGACAACAACAACAACAGCCAAATATAATAATAATAAAAATTAACATACAAACTAAAATGCATACGAAATGAGGCTGAGAAGCGCACAGAGAGGCTGTGCGACGATCAACGATCGGCGATCGATAGCGCTTTATGGGCGATAGTTTTTGTTGCTGTTGTTGCCGCTGCCGTTGCTTGGCCATAGTACGAGTTCATTGAGTTCCGAATTCATTGATGGATCGCAGCGCTATAACGGCAGCCAGCCAAAGCTAACTGTGCGTTCCAAAATAGAAACATATATATATGTATGTATATACATATGTATGTATGTATATACACAATATACCATGGCTGGGCAGGCACAAATTTACGATCGTACATAATTCAAATTTATGCAGATGGATTCACGGCGTGGCTAAGCGAAAATAAATCATGCTTTTTAAGTGCCAGCCAAGCATTTGTTTTGGCCAAACACCTTGAATGGCAGCCTGGTAACTCTGTCACAAACAGCCAAAGCAACAGCAACAACAGCAAAACTACCGTGAGGCAATCATCACAGCAAACTTTGTCATCCTGCTCGCCAGCAGCAGCAGCAGCAGCAGCAGCAGCAGCAGCTGTTGACAACGTTTCAGTTTCAAAGCCTTTATATATATGTATTTAAATAGTGTATATAGAAACATATCTCTGAGCCGCCCACATCTTCTGCTCTGCGTCTTCGCATCTGTCTGCTGGCAGCCTTTTTCTACCCCCTTCTGCTGCCGCAGCTTCTCCGCAGTGTTGAAATTTATGCGACCGCAGCGCTGCCGTATGAATTTTTAATTTTTCACAAAATGTGTTTTTTTTTTTTTTCATTCTTTTATTTACTGTCTGTTGTTGTTCTTGGCTCTTTATTAATTTTGGCAATTAATGAAATTTAATACTTTTGCGCACAGTGCAAACTGTTTTCGAGCTGCTTTTGTCAAGTCATCGCCAGCTGCGAGCGCTCGAGTCTGTGCGAGCAGTTGATTATTGTGCAACTTAATCAAATATATTATTGTATAGAAATATAAATAATGAAAGGATTTTAAAAAATTGCACAGAAATGATAGAAAATTCAATTAGACTCTAGTTAAGAATAATTAAATAAATAACTAGAGAAATTTTTGTATGTTTAGTTAGAAATAATTAAATGTAAAAGAGATTAAAGCTGAGATGGGTTTGCCGACTAGGAAACAAGCAAGTTTTTACTATTATATAGTATTAAATTTTTAAAAATAAACTTAATTTGATAATGAGCAAAGAGTTACTTCAAATTAATAATGTAATTTTACATTGATCAATAAGTCAGCTCAACTTTAATTGACGTTCCTCAGTCAGCTTTCTCAACTAGAATGCCCTTCGCTTTACTGTTGTTTTAATTATATGGCACACATTATTTTTAATAAAATTTCGGTTTAGAAAAGTGTTGTGTTTTATATTTATAGAGCACCCAAGTCCTCTTCTACTTAAATGTATAACACTGGAAATTCATTAGTATGAAAAGTAACATAAGCACGAGAGAGAAAACGTATATAAAAACCACTTAAACATTAACTTATATATTATTACTATTTTTATTTATTATTATTATTGATTGGTTTTCTCATTAAAATTAAACATATTATAGACACTTGATAAATTAATTATAGTATATAAGTGTTCTCATTAATATTTCATTTCCGAACTTCCATCTAGATCTATAGCCATGCCAAATTCTATATCTATAACTCTCTATAGACTACAGCCATCAGCAATATATTTATATACTTAATGGTTTCGAAAGGGTTTTTATTTCTATTCAGCTACCATCATTGGAAGGATTAAACGTAGCTAAAGAACAAACTCAAATAAAATCAGCTGAAAGGCAACACTCAAACTGAAATTATTTTTGTTGTTCTTTCTGGGGTCCACACCAAGCACAATTCGGACGATAAATTAAATACCTTTTGTGGGTAATACGAATAATAGGGATTGTTCAAATGGTCAACAGTTTTATTGTGCGCTGGACCAAAATGCGATCCCCCGCATTACTCGAGCTGAACGATGTTTATTTTTTTATTTTTCGTATTTTTTTTAGAAAGCTGTGAAAACAAGATTTACGATCGATTTTCATGTGCTTAGCGCCACATGAACTTCCGTTGATTTAGAGTCGGCTGCGAGAAGAAAGAAGAAGAGGACACGAGTCGAGTCGAGGTGTTGGCTGGGCGTAGGTGTCATCAGCTGCAAACCCCAACCCCAACCCCAACCACAGTCACAGTCACAGTCACAGTTATAGCCTCGGTTACAGCTACAGCTACAGCTACAGCTCCATCTCCATTTTCAGTTTAAACAAATTGAATTTAAAATTAATCGTATTTGATATCGCTAACAAAAAAGTCACAGAGAGAGACAGAGAAGGAGAACGACAGAGAGAGAGAGAGAGAGAGAGAGAGAGAGAGAGGGAGAGAGTTGGAGAAAAATGTTTTATTACATTGATTTGCATTTAAATCGATGTTTCGACTGAGATGGCTGTATCAAGAGAGAGCGACAGCGCAAGAGAGAGGCAGATAGGTTTGGGATGGGGATTGGAATTGCGGCTCAGATGATAACGAGCACAGCGAGCGGTCAAAAAACGTTGACAAGCTGACAAGAACCGAAACCCAACCCAAACCAAAACAAATAAAAATGCGGAGAATTCTCAATGAATTTGGTCGAAAAGAGGTTTTTGTTTCTGAATGAATGAATTCTAGATGCATAAATAATACCCCTATGTAGGACTTAGGTCAGAACTAAGAAATGCAATTTTCTGCTTTGTAGGTGGTGGCGTCTCTGTGGCATAGGGTTTGGGCAAAGGGTTTTGGCCCAACTCGCGTCAGTATCTGCTGCTCTCGCTGTTGTTTGGGCCAAATCACGATTTATGCTCCGCAAATGCTTTTTAGCCAGAGGCTAAAACGAAAAAAAAGAAAGAAAAATAACAAAAAGCCAAAATAAAAGAAGACAAAAAGCTGAACACAAATTTGTTCATTCAGCGTACAGCTGAGGCGGGCAACAGGTTTTCTCTTGTTGTTGCAAAGTTGATCGTGCCAAACAATGAGAAAATGAAACTCATCTCGCGTACTCGCTCTTATACAGCTGCTCGCCCAGCGCTGCCTCCTCCCACTCCGCGGACACCAGAGAGCCGGAGAGACACTCGAGACTGAGCCAGAGACTGAGACTGAGCCGCAGACGGAGACTCAGATTGAGACTGAGACACTGTTGTTGTTGCTTTGGCCAAAAACCAGCCCCAGAGCGAGTTGCGAGCTGCGAGTTGTGAGTCGCGAGTTGCGAGTCGCGAGTCGCGAGTTGCCTGCCACTCAACTCAGTGGAATGGCATCCGAATCCTACCGTGGGAAATGAACAGTAGTTGCTTTTGGCTTTTGGAGCAACAACAAGTTTAATGCTACAGTCAGTTGTTTGCTGCTGTTGTTGTTGTTGTTGTTGCTGCTGCTGTTATTGTTGTTGTTATTGTTGTTGGCTTTGCAATTTCACTGCAGCTTTTTGGTCGTCGGCGCATATCAAATAAGCCTAATAATAATGCAATTTATGCCAAAGCAAAGCGAAAAGAGCCACAAAATGACTTTTGACTTGCTCTATTTTGCATGCCCACGGTTAGACAGAGATGGAGCGAGAGTGACGAGAGATAGAGAGAGGGAGAGAGTGGGACAGAGGGAGAGGCAGAGTGTGGATGTAGTAAAGAAAGAGAGAGAGATTGAAATGTACTACAAAAGAGAGCAATTCTTATTTCTCAACTATGATAAGACATATATAAATATATGTACATAATACATAAAATAGGTACTGGCCCAAAATATTTGCGATTAATACAAAGCTCTTATTAGTCTCTTTCACTCTTATTATTAGAGCCTAAATAGTTAAATAGTTTTTCTTTAAAAAAAAGCATGGTAAACTACAATCCATAAGGAAACATAATATGGTCAACAAAACTAAATAAAATTCCATTAGATTGATTTAATATAAAACATAGATTTTCTTAGGAAAAAAAAAGGAAAAGTCTAGTTAAATTTAAAAAAATAAAATATAAATTTAGAGAATTTCTTAACAAACCTATTAAATTTCCAATTTTTTTTTTTTAATTTATTTATTTATTTATTTTTTCAATTATTTTTTTTAATGTTTTTGTGTAATTTATACTTGCACGCAGATATTTAGCCACAACTATTGAGACTTGCAACTGAAATTAAATTAAACACATTATACAATATCTTAAATGCATTCATGAACTAAAAAAAAAAAAAAAAAAAAAAAAAAAAACATTAAAAAAACCCCAAAAAAAATTCATGAACTAAAAAAAAAAAAAAAAAAAAAAAAAAAACATTTTCCATTAAGTTTATTAATTTAAAAGCGTTAAAAATTTCCATAAATGTATCGAATTTAAATTGAAACAGAAAAGTATTTATTTTTATAAAATAAATCTGATCTTATAAATATAAATAGGTAATCAATATATTAAATTTAAATTGTTGTCAAGTCAGTTAGAAACAAAAATTTATGTATTTTTATTCAATAAATTTGATCATATAAAAATACAAATTTATACAGTTTTTCATTGAGACATGTATTTTCTTTGACATTGAATTTTATAGATTTTATTTATATTTTAGGTTTTATTTAATATGTATAAGTATATATAGAAAAAAAAATGGGTTCAGGGTATAAAAAGAGAATATATATAGTATCTCAACATTGGGTTTATTTGGCTTCACATGCGGCTATATTTTGAAGGATGATGGAAATCCCTGAGCGCGTGCACAGAAAAGTCCGCAGCAGTTGCCAAGCTGTTGTTGCTGTTGTTGTTGTTGTATGGTGTGTTTTGGGAAAACCTTTTAGCACCTTTGGCCACAGCCGCAGCGCAAATCACAACAAGTTGCGCATCGCAGGGACCTGAGCAATTGGGAATTAGGAATTGGGCTGATAAGCTGGCCAAGTGGGCAAACAAAGCGTTTGCGCGTGCGCAGCGAGCTGAAAGTAAGTGAGTGAGAGAGAGAGAGAGAGAGACTGAGGGAGAGAGTGAAGGAGATAGAAAGTGGGAGAGGGTAGAGCAACACCTACGGGCGAGCAAACGGTTTCGCGGTTGCGTCTCAGGTTTGCTTTGGTTTCGGATTGGTTTGGTTAGGTTCGTGGTTAGTTTCGTGGTTAGGTTCGTGGTTGGGTTCGTGGTTGGGTTCGTGGTTATGTGGTAGTAGCGGCATCCTCTCATCTAAGTGCGATGTGGCTGCTTATCTGATCAAGCGCAGGACACGCGTGCGTCTACTTGAGTGTGAGTGTGTGTGTGTGTGTGTGTGTGTGTGTGAAGTGTAGATAACAAAGAGGTGATAATTGACCGCCCTATTGGCTTAGCAACCAATTACAAAGCTTATCAGCTGCACTGCAGCAATCAAATCAAACAACGTTCGACGGGGCGGAGCAACGCCGGTGGTCTGCCCTGTTGCTGTTGTTGCCCCCATCGATAGCCATCGATCGGTGTAAACAAGGCCAACATCGCAACAACAACAACAACAACAGCAACAACAACAACAACAACAGCAGCACACCCATGGCCAAGTGTGAAATATGCCCGGGTCGTGTCGAGTCGATCGCATTCGTATGCTAAATACCGAATGGACTCCCTCGCTTATCAGTTGTTTGCCTGGTCGGTAGGGTCGAGCGCTTGACGCACTGTCTCCTGGTCGTAGGCATGCACCAGCAATGCCACCTCCAGATTCAATTGGGCAATGTCATCCTTTAGCTTGACAATCGCCTTCTTAATCTGCTGCACGGAGCCTGCAAAGAGATGGTAAATCAAATGGTAAATAACTATGATCATAGAGAGAGACATACAGAAAGAGGGGAGTGGGAGCAAGAGCCATTAAAGAAATATGCTATGAATCAGTTGAGACTCTTGCAGCTCACTCACTATTTCGACACATTGGTATTTCCCACTAAAATCACAAACGACAACGAGCGGAATGCCAAGAGGTACTCTGAGCCCATGTGAATTCACTGAGCAATGAGTAACAAATTGTGTATTGAGTTGTTCGATTGGGTATCTTCTGTGATATGCTATAAATAATAATGAATCATCAATTATTGAATCATAGAACATTTGAGCATGAATTTACGCAAGTTGTTCAAACTTAATGAAATGAATTGGAGAAAAATATTTAAATTTGAAAGGAGGCTCCAAACTAGAGCGAAAAGAGAGAGAGAGAGAGAGAGAGAGAGAGAGCAATGCAAATGCTACGACTGAAGTGAAAGAGACTGGAATAGTGAGAGGGAGACGGGGAGTAATATTGTATACAGAATATGCGAAATGAAAAGCATGTCAAAGTAAAAGACAAAGGCAGAAACTGGCAGAATGGATAAATTAAAGTAAAATAAACAGATATGTAAACGAAATATTATATAAATAATATAATAATCTCAAAGACTGAAAGACTGGAAAATTCTACAATGCGGTTTAAGGGAGAGAGTTTAGTTTAATTA